CTTAGAGATCTGAGAATGTTACCGCAGAACCCAAGGGACAACTTCTTGAGGCCGGTCACGCAGGGCCTTTTTATGGGTAGTATTTAAAGTGTTGGCTCCGTTCTTGTTTAAGAGGCCTTACCGCCGAAGACGGAAATCCTTGAAGTAAGGTGAGGTGTGACATTTTTAGGGTCGACATATTCTAACCCTTCCTTCCTTGTGAGAAGGCAGCATCACTGCAGATGCTGGTTGTCCGAGGGTAACACCTTACTGCTGTCACACCCCTCTGCAGTCAGCAGTATGACTTCGCCCTCAGACCTTGGGTAGCTGCTTCTAGTCTTATCGTTCTCCAATCGACCTGCCTGGCATGATTGAACCTACCGGAACATATGTTGCAGCCAATATAGCTCGGTCGGGTCATCACGATAGGTAAGCCCAACCACCACTTTAAGGTAGCAGCTACGATCGGGACTGACGCCTGTCAGACCTAACAGAACATAGGCTCCTGACCAACTAATTGTTCTCCTTCTGGTTAGCGATTCTTTTTCAGTGAGTCGGTATTCTACAGGATGGGGTCGCTAACCCTATCTCCTAATCCTCCTCCTTTATCCGGTCTTAAGACCAGCAATAACCAGACGAAGTTAATTTTAAATAGACAGATTTAAACAAAATGATAATTCAATATGTTTTATTTATAATCATATCTAATCATCATATACAATTTTCATAATCTTGATATCACACATTCTAAGTTCTTATTGACATGAATGATTTAAATAAGCCTTAACTAGTTAGTTATGTGAATCTATATCTCGCACACAATGCCAAAGGACTTGGGTTCGAATCCTGCCAGGTGCAGGAGTCATGGGTGCTCACTGCCACTGATGAGTCCCATACCAGGACGAAACGGCCGTCCAGTGATTGCTTCCAGGTTTCTAATGGTGGTCTAATAACATTGATCGATTCATGGTTTCAAAACGTGTATAACTTAATAATCTTCACAACCCTGTAATATGAATCTACATCTGTCCCACTAAAAAAATTTTATATCTGATTTAAAAACATTTTCTTCATCAATCAAATTTTCTCATTGAAGCTAATATTATCATCATGTCATGTATAATTTTTTTACATTTTCATAGTTACTATGAAATTTGAATTTGAAAGACCATGGGAAAATGACTCAATGTATATAATCAAGTTCTCTTCTATTGAAAATTGTATAACAAACATACAAAGATACAACAATAGATTATTTCTCAAAGATGTCTGTTTAATAGCTAGAAGATTTTCCAGTGGTATCTACCGAGATTTGCATATATATATATATATATATATATATATATATATATATATATATATATATATATATATATATTAAGGGTTCAATAGGTATGCATTTTATAATCTGTAGCGGATTTTATTTGCCATTGATTGTTAGAGTTAAAGACACAGGTTGGAATAAATCAGTGGAAGTATCTATTTTTCCTGAAGATTCCAGATACACTTAGGTGAACAATGTATTGTTGAGTAGTAGTGTTGTGAGAGGTATGAAAGGTGGTTGCGTTTATTGGCGGCTGCTCATACCGTGAAAGGATCCTTCAACTTGAGGGACCTGGAAAGGAAAATGACATGGGGAGTTGACTGGAGAGCTTATGTGACAACTGTTTTAGTCAGGTCACATAATTGGCATTTTTCTGAGTAGTTGTAGATATTGCTGGCTTTATACTTTTAAGGTATTACCGCTAACGGACAATAATTTGAATCAAAGCGAAGTTCAGTACTTCCAAGGTTAACCATTCTAACTTTCCATTTTCAGTCAGTTAGTCAGTGAGATGCAACGTAGAACTTTGTACGCAAGTAAATCAGTTCATGTTGCCATACCACATTAGCACAGAGATGTAATTGTCAATTCAAATCCAATAGTAGTAGAAGAGGTAGTAAAGGTATTAGAAGTAAACGGAGAGGTTAGGATTAGAAGATATTATTCAAGAAGTATGATTCAGTGAGAAAAGTTTAGAAAGTCAAAACTAGAGAGGTTGAAGAATCCAGAAGATTAGGATTTGAGAGAGCTCAAAGAATGGATGCACTTGCGCCATTGCAAACGATTTTGAGCCATGTCATTCAGGGTATCTAACTATCGATTATTATCATCTCGCGGACCCCAACCAGGTAGTCGACAACTACCGACATGGCTAAGTCCACTCGTCAATGACTTCATGGATTTCTGCCATGTTTTGGTTTGGCCGCCCCTAACTTTCCTCCAACCTATTCCCACACTACAAAACAAAGCTCGTCGAGGCACCTCAACTGATGAAGTTTCATTACTTCATCTATTGATCTGCCATCGTTACCTAGAACTCGTTTCCTAACGACAGCATTGCTTACTCGGTTGTCCCACGATATACGAGCAATGCTTCTTAAACATCTATGATCGAATACTAGTAACCTACGAACATCTACTCTTAACGGCCATCTTTCGCATCCGTATGGGAGAACGGAGCGAACTGCTGCGCAGTACACCCATCCTTTGGTTAGCGAACGGATATCACGCCTACGCCATAAGTGACGCAGGTTGGCAAAAGCCAATCGAGCCTTCTGTATCCGAGCTGAGATTTCGTCAGTCACCAGGCCATCAGCACTGATGAGACTCCCCAGATAAGTGAGGCGGTCTACACGCTCGACTACTTCACTCCCAATCACTAGTTCGGGTGCCAATGCAACCCAGTCTTGAAGCAACATTTTACATTTCGAGGGTGAGAACTTCATCCCGAACATGCTTGCATTGTTGCTTAGGGTGGTCAGAAGACTCCGTTTTGTAAAGTTAGTATAGTAGCAGAAACTGGTTGTTTGAGGAAAAAACTTACAGCCATCATAACCTTGTGCTGAAAGTAATAGTTTTACACTCAAACCTTCATTTGTGACTTTTAGTGTTACCATCCTCCAACAAACGCGCTCGGCATAGTAGGAACAAATGAATGATATGAATGTTCCATCCAATAAGCCTCAACTGAACTATCTCAATATCCTGACCTACGTCTAAGTAGTAGCTACGGTCGTGAATGTTCATTCCTAATGTATATCACTAACACAAGTCTCAGATAGTTTCTTTAATTAACTGCCTCAAAGTAACGAACACTAAACAAAAACACCTCCATACTCAGTCAAATAGACTAGTGGGCGTATTACAATTCGATATAATTAAATCGAAATATCAGGAATAAACAAGATCAAGTTAAATACCGCCAGGTATTCAATTACTATAATTCCTAACATAAATTCAGTTAGTCTCTAATGTATGGTATGTTGTTGACCATTAGATGTTGTAAGAGACTGAAAATGAAGATTTATTATTCATCAAAAACTGTTTGAACATTCGGAACTTTGTGTTTTTCGTATACCGATCAATAGTCCAATTTAAATGATTCGCGATGGTTAACATCAGATATTAATTAATTAGTACCATAATGTATAAATACAACTAACAGTATCATAGGAACAAACTGCGATTATTAATAAGTGCTATTTAAACTACTGAATTACACGATTATTGTTAATTAATACCTACCCTGCTTTCAGTTCGGATATGTTGAAGTACACTGTAAGGGATCAACCTGGAAAACTAGCTTTTCTTCTTTATAGCAGATCTGATGGCTGCACGCATGTTGACCACATCCTAGGCAGTATTCACTCGGATAATAGCTATTATCTAAGGTATTAATGCTATCAACTACTTTTTATAGGCATGTACACTGAAACCATGAGTTAATTTTGTAGGACCATGGAGTTTGATTGCATTGGCTATATGTATATCAATATAGCGGATAAATTCAGTATCTACCAATCGAACTTGGGACTTGCGCTAGTAACAGAACAATACGCCTTCCGTCTACAGTCTGTTACATTTTATTCTCTGCACTCAATAGATATAACCGATCCCAACCAGTTTTTTAATTTAATTCCGGCAGGTCGAAACTGTCAAACATTCGATACGAAAGGTAGATATCACGTCCTTTTAAATACGAAAATGAATAGACGATGCCTTACACTTGGTATCGCATTCCTTAGGCTTCGAGTTCACAATTGCATCGTCCACTTCAAATTTATGTCGATTGAGGGAAATGTCACCATGACATCATTTCTGCACTTATCCACCTGTGAGCTGTGCCTAGATTTAAAATCAAAACTGAGATCCTACTACCTGAAAATGTACTACACTAGTAATCGCGAATTATGTAACTTCAACATTATGATACTTCGGGCACGAATATACTCCTGATGTATTACATTTTTCCCCATGACATGCAACGATTCAGACTAACAGTCATGCTAAATCCTACCATAATTATAATTGATTCAGGTAAATCAGTAGTATTTATTCAATCAAAAGTAGCTATAATAGATTGGCCATTGAGTAGCGACCGATGTCGAATTCATCTAGTCTGCCGGCATTCATTGAAATACATCGATCGTTCTTTGTGGTCATTATCCTCAGTGAACCTACGCCATTTGAACTATGTCTCGATATCAGGTGCTTAGAGGTGGACTGAATATAAGCCTCGTCAGTAGTTGGTTAATGTAGTTTAAACAAGACACTAGCATGTACTGAGCTTAGAACGCCAAGCAATACTGCTTTGGATAGCCTAGTTTTGGTATAAGAGTTTACAGGGCGCAGAGAAATACCTCATACACTTGAGAATTCTAGTCAGAGGGTATGAAATATGGGGAATGTTATGCTGATTAGTTTTTCTTAGCCGATATAGTAAGCGCTTGGACCTACAATACAAAAAAATTATAATTAACTGATCTGTTACACCAAGTAGAAGAATGTCTTACGATAACTCAATAGACCAACAGTCAGCGTCATGAAACAAACCGGACGTTTTTTGACTCTCGTACATGGATATCTTAAATGTTTTGACATACAACACAACGTACACTAACTGTAGTATTATCAACCACCTAAAACGTTGGGCAACCAAAAATGCTATGAGAAAAAACAAACAAACAAACATTCAGAATTACTTTTTGGATACATTTATTTTTTGTAGAGAATCTGAAGAATATGAGAAAAGAAAGCTTGAAGATAGTAAGTAAGTAAGTAAGAAACGCTAATAATAATAATTTGTTTCGACAAGGTGTTGTTGTTGTTGTTGTTACATACCAAAAACCACCAATAAGATAAACACAAAAGATCATCCAAACACAAGAGAGAGATAAATGATGAAGGGGGGAGACTATTTACAATGGACAAAATTCATGGAATGAACAAGAATTACTAGTGATTGATAAACAACTACAATCCAATAAATAATATACTAGCTCACATACATAAGGAAGTGAGAGAAATGAATGAGGAAACCTAATTTATTATAAACTTGGGACTTTTACAACACTCCACCACTCCACTCACTATGTTGGAAGACAGAGCAAGTGCACTTGGGTTATGTTATGTATGAACACACACACATGGAATCTAAAAGCACACGTTTTCTTATTTTTGTGGATTAATATCTCGGGTAGGTATAATTAATAATGATCATGAGCACTAAATTTAATTTTAAAAAAAACAGACCAATTTTGATTGTGAATGATATACACCTACAAATAAATGAGTGTGGCAGGCACAGCCTGAAACAAAGTCATAAAACCCTAAATGATTCATATCACAGGCAGCAAACTGTAAAAACTCATCCAATGTCAGCTATATATGCCTTCTGGAGAGCAAATACGCATAAATACTTTTAATTACAAAAATAATTCGAAATGTTATAAATCAAACAAGGCACGAACTGGGAATACAGAGATAACGCATATGCAGGAACTAGTGACTAGACGACAACTGCTAGAGCTGTGCAATAGGTTTCAGCAAAAAGATGATAGATAACTGTCTGGAATTTTAGAAATGTCGCTAGCTAGTAAGGGCTAAAATGTTATAGAGAATCTGTGAGCAAGGGGAACTGTACACTGTACATAACAAGGGATGTGACAGGATTGTTTAAAAAGACTGAAATTCATGTTTGAGTGTTGTTTGTAGGCATTCGTTTACCCAAAGCCAAGTTACTGTTTGATGGTTGTGAACCCGGAACTGAACTATGATTTACACTGATTTGAGAAGCATGTCCGGTTGGCGTATTTATCGCTGTCACATTTGGATTTGAAGTAACAGGTGACTGGTGATTTGTGTAAGTATGAGGACTGCTTAATGAATGAGCATGACTAAATACTTTCTGGACGCCAAAGCCAGAGACATCAGGACCAATAGTTAACGGGACGGTACCGAAGGCTGTTGGAAACGAGTGAGAAGATGTAACTGCATACAAACCTCCGTTACCACTTGGATTATTGGGAAGGGATAGGTTTGGATGAGCTTGCGTGAGCGCCACATACGGTTGGTAAGGATGAGTCGAAACAATACCGCCGTTTGCGCCAGAACCTTGGTTAAGAGGTATCCACATTCCGCTTGCATGTGCAGGGACGGAACGGCTCAAAAGTGAGTTTGTGCCCGGCGGACAACTGATAGAAGGTGTGAAATAAGCGTTGGTTTGACCGGGATGAGCTCCTGGAATAAACTGGAGAAACACAGCCGAATTAGGAGCAGCAGCAGCAGACATGTTGTTGGGATTACCAACAGATGGTACATATGTCCCAACAATAGGAGCCGGACTACCTGGAGTGGCAAGACGGTATAATGCGGAAATGAAGGAGGCAGTATTTGGGTCTGAAGGAGGCAATACTGGGGTATTAGGACCTGACGCCAATAAACTACACTGATTAGCGGCTGCAGCCATAAATGCGGCAGCCTGGTGCTGGGTGTAAATTTGTGGGCAATGGAAAGCTTGTGCTGGTCTGATTGTGGACTGTGGACCGAGGTCAGATTGGTAAAACGGAGCCGTTACTGTAGAATGTTGTTGTGAAGGTGAAGAACTAGAATATATTATATTTCCTGGTGAAGTGTTTGTCAAAATTCCAAAATTATTTGGAGTCAAGATATGAGCTGAGGATTGGATATAGTTTGGAAGTGAGTTATGCGGAATAGAGCTCATAGACTGACCCGAAACACCCAAAACCTGTGAAGTCACAGGGAAAGGTGCATTGGTGCTGTTTGCGGGAACCTGACTTCCAAATGAATGAGCTGAGACTGGATTCAGGATTGAGATGTTTTGATTTAATGGATCAACATTGGGATGTGTAAGAGACTGACTGGAAGCTGTTGATACTTGTACAACGATTGCGTTTTGATCGGAAGTCGAAGTTGTCAAGCTTACACCCTGATTGACAGGACGTACATAGCCAAACTCGACGGACGGAGAACAACCTTCATTTAAATGCTTTACCAATGTTGGACAAACTCGAGTAATTCCAGCTGGTGAGCCATCTGAAAACACAACCAACAAAACATTGCTGCTGGAGACGGCATCTAGTAATTCTGATTCAGTAGTGGATACCCAGCGGAGCCTATTGAACTGTAACAGCTCAGATATGGGGCAGACATCTTGATTGGCAGTTAATATTGTATACAAGTGAGAATCACGTAGCAAATTGCTTTCACTGAAGTAGTACTCGCTGAAAAAATGAAAACAAAATATTATCAAGATGGTGTTCAAAAAGTTAATAATACAAAAACTGAATGATCTGAGAAACTCATAAATACCAAAGCTCACATCAAGTCTTCTCGCTCTCAACTAATAGCTCAGTGAACGCAATCTTACTTAAACTTATTTAAACAACACGAAGTAGGAGTAAACTGTGTGGGTTAAGGGATCCACGTAAGTTAGGACTTTCGTACTTGAGACTGGTTTAGTAAAGAAAGCGATTGCTCTAAACGCCTCAACCTTGCTAGGCTACAGTAAATTAGACGATGAACAGCACAATTAACAAATAACTACCCATTACTTACGGAACATCTTTAGGGTGAACAACAGAGATGGGAACGATAAGCAGAATATCATCTGATTTTCAAAATCTCTTTTCTAATGTGAAACAGTATGTGAATTGCTAACATATCCCTGTAATGCAAAATTTGCAGAGTAAAATAACAGTACCTTAAGGGATTATTTGAGTCATTTGTGACACCTACATTTAAGGAATCGACGTTTTACGACGATCCAACGAGTGTGAAACGTGCAGTCAAGCATAAACTCCATCAGACCTATTGCAAAAAAATTCCACATGCAATCAAGATGGGAATTAATAAATTAATTCCTTTGGTGTCGAACATGGGTTGACAGTGAAAAACCAGAAAGAGTCTATCATATTTCAAAAGCACCAATCCTATACGTGCAAATAAAGATGTTTATGCACTCCGCCTTGTTTCTTGAAGTGTTTTGTTGAAATCTTATGGAAACCAGGCAGTAACATTAGCTTAAACAGCGTGTCGCTGACCAAGTGAAAGTACTTAGTGAACTAGTTGTTACGATAGCAATTAGTAAACATAAACTGCAAAACGACATTTGACTTACACATGATGCTTGATATAATCCAGCTTTGATCGAAACTTTAAAAACTTCGTTCGATTCGCGTTTCTCGGGACAAAAAATACGCGATCCTCAACTATGATAACATCGTCAGCTTTTATTGGCCTTGCAGGTGCATCATCACTACGAGATTGAGTAGAGGATGAATTAGACAAATCGTTTTTGTTAACTGCCGTTTCAGTAAGATCTGCCAAGTCGTGATTTGATGACCCTAGGGCATCCTTTATAGCAGCAGCAACCGCTCGGTGCTCTCGAAGGCTTGTGGGAAAAACTACTTTTTTCCATCCTACTTCATTAATGTATGCGATCACTTGAGTTACGTCAACCACTTCACTAGTATCAGTTGGTTGTTCCGTACTGGTAGAAGTCATGGATGATTGTGGGTTGAAACTAGGATGTATAGACTGAACAGCTGATACATCAGGAAGAATAGGTATGGGAAGACTATCGACCGGAAGATGTGGCAAAGCTGCAATGGGGTGTTGTATTGTCGGCTGAGTAGGTAGTATTTGGGTGTTTGCTAGGGACACCGCTGGAATGATTGCGTGTGAAGCAGGTGTTTGCGTAAGCTGCAGGGCAGGAGCCAGCATTGTTGCAGGTGCCCCTGGGATGATATACGCAACTGAACAAGAAAACAAAAGTACTTAAGGGTAATTAACTGACTACTATAGCGTTTGGTCAGAGAATATACTGTATAATTAGAGCTAGGAACTTGATGGACAATAGATATAAATCATTTGAAACTTAAACAAAAACAATAGGGCACCAAAATACACATGAGCCACACGAATCAGTGACAAGGTAAAACCTGGTTTTCGGTTCATATACAAACTTATAAGTTTTAAAAATTGTATCCTACTTCATATTTTGAATACCCTGATCGACACCATCTCACCACTTTACTTCGTACTATGCATGTAAATGACCATAATATCAAGAAAAAAAATCACCGCAACCAATTTAGATAAGAGTTCAAGCTCACTGAATGCTAAGAAGAAATTGGTTGGTGACTCATTTGCTTAGATACACGTTATGGGAGTAAAACTTAAACACAGTTACAAAACGGATGATTATACTCATCGACTCATTTACCAGATTTAGATTTGTGTAGTTGGTTTAAATGTGAAGGATAGTGATACTTGCAGCATGCTCAAACAGAAAGTGGAGCTAGGTTTGAACCTTAAACTGCCGAACAACTCAGCCACAGCATCACGGATGACTAGGCACTAAATTGGGTGCGAAGGATTACAGACACTTTTACAGTACCTCTACGAAGTTGTAAAGACATGAATTAAGATTGAACTTGTGAAGCTGCGCTAGCTACTTTTGAATAATGTTCGTGATTTACTGCTTGTGAATAAAACTTACCAGTTACGTTCGTACACAGAATAACATCCAATAAACCACTCTCAATTTTACTGCTTGAGAAACCACGACTAATGGACACGTTAAATTTACCAACAAACTACAAGCCTTATTACTAAGATACATCAATGTGTCTTGCTTTGTAGCTGCAGTTGTTAATAAAGTTTGTAATAGTAGGGGCTAATTTTAGAATTAAGAACACCCCGTGAAACAAGCTACACCAGGGAGAAACTGAGAGTTCACTTATCTCAAAGCAATGAAATACTAGCCTCCAGTTCGATTGATTATTCATAAAAGCCCTTTAAACACACTAAGTTGCTCTATATACCAAAACATATCATAAGATTGTCAGAAGTCAGCTACAACGTAGAACCTGGTACGTACGTACATCCCCATAATTTGCAATATCACATTAGCACAGAGATGCAATTATTAATTCAAATCCCATAGCGGTAGAAGTAGTAGAAGTATTAGCAGTAATGGAGAAGATTAGGATTCGAAGATATGATCCCAGTGGAATAAATCCAAAAAGAGAATGATAAAAGTAATGAGGATTCAGATTAGAATTTGAAAGACAAAGAATGTGTGTATCTGTGCCATTACAAGAGGTTTTTTTCATTCAGAGTTTCTAACTATCGGTTACTATTGCCTCGCGGACTCCAACCAGGTGGTCTACACCTACTAACATACCTCAGTTCAGTTGTTAGTGACTTCATGGGTTTGATTTGTTTCGTTGTGGCCAGCCCCAATCTTTTTTCCAGCCTATCCCAACATCAGATAAAATTGTTTGTCGAGACAGTCAGTGGTTGGGCATATGACACATGTCCCAACTACCTCATCTGATAAAGGTTTACTACTTCATTAAGTGACCTACCATCCTTACCTGAGATATGTGAGCAATGCTTTTAAGACACCTATGATCGAATACTAGTAACCTAATAATGTCCTCAATACTTCGTCGTCATGCTTCAACTCGTCCTTTGGTTAACAAACGGATACCATGTATGCACCCTGTAATGCAAATTGGCAAGAGCCAGTCAAGCCTTCCGTAAGTGCCGAGATTGCGTCACACACCAAGCAATCAGTACTGATAAGACTCCCAATGAAAATGAAGTTATCAACACGCTCAACTACTTTATTCACTTGCTCAAGCCAATCCTGAAGCAACATTTCACATTTGGAAGAGGAGAATTACATTCCAAACAAGCTAGCATTGTTAAGGTGATTAGAAAACTGTATTTTGTTAGCGTCTTCACCAAACAGAACTATATCATCTGCATATTTTAAGTCAACAGCTAAATCGGATGGTAGATCAACTTTCGAGAAGTCAGACGATGCAAGTTTCGTCTGTAGAAGCATGTCGATGACAAAGGTAAGTAAGGATGGGAAAGTGGACAACGCTGAAGAACGCCACACGAAGTAATCAATTCTGATGACAGTTCGCCATAAGCTGTAACTCGACCAGTAGTGTTCGAGTAGAAATTGTACAAGAGATTAGTGTATTACTTTAGTACACCTTTCAGAGAGACAATGCCATAGAACCTCAAGACCAACAATGTTGAACGTTACCTCAATGTCTAGAAATACAAGATTTGTTGAGCGTTGAAATGTATGTCTATTTTCTAGGACCTGACGTAGTATGTATATTTGGTGCAAATATCCACACCTAGGTGTGAAACCAGCCTGGGTCTCTTGAGTTTGTTCTTCACGAGCGCTAGTTAAGTGTCGAAGTATTATTGAAGCGAATATCTTGGACTCCACATTGGTTACTGATCCCTGTGTGATAGTCATAAGATGACTTTGTTCCTTTCTTATAGACCGAGACGATCAGCGATTAAGACCAGTCAGATGGGATTGTGTCTAATTCCCAGATTCCTGCTAAAATCTCAGTTAATCTAACAGCTAAAACTGGACTACCATCCTTAGAAATTTTGGGGGGTTAACCTATCAAGACATGCTGCTCTTCCTCACCTTAGATTGACTATAGCCTTTTCGATTTCATCAAGTTGGAGAAGTTAGATCATCCAACTTGCCATTCAGGTTGACTGGAAATCGTGGGTTAGTCAGTTAGTTACAACGTAGAACTTCGTATGTAAGTACATCAGTTCAGGTTGCCGTAACACATTAGCATAGAGACGCTATTGTTAGTCTAAATCCCATAGTGGTAGAGGTAGTAACAGTATTACTGATAATGAAGATTAGGGTTTGAAGATATTATTCAAGAATAATTCAGTTCAGAAAGAGAAAGACAGAGGTGACGACGAATTCAGATGATTAGAATTTCATAGAACACAACAAGTAGTGCAACTGCGCCATTGCAAACGATTTTGAACCATGTCGTTCGAGGTCCTTAACCAGCGGTACCTTTCGTCTCGCGGACCCCAGCCAGGTAGCCTACATCTTCCAACATGACTCAGCTCACTTGTCAGTGACTTCATGGATTTGTGCCATGTTTTGGTTTGGCCGCCCCTAACTTTCTTCCAACCTACTCCTACACCACAAACTATAGCGCGTCGAAGCAGTCGGTGGTTGGACATACGTAACACATGTCCCAACCACCTAAACTGAAGTTTCAATACTTGAACTATTGATTTGCTATCCCTACTTATTACTCGTTTCCCAACGACAGCATTGCTTACTCGGTTGTCCCAAGATATACGAGCAGTGCTTCGAAGACAATCAACCTACGAATGTCCTCTGCTTTCACCGGCCATGTTTCGCATCCATATAGTAGGACGGAGCGAACTGCTGCACAAAACACTCCTTTAGTTAGCAAACGGATATCTCGCCTACGCCATAAATGACGTAAGTTGGGAAAAGTCAATGGAGCCTTTTGTATCCGTGATGAGATTTCGTTAGTCACCAGGCCATCAGCACTGATGAGACTCCTGAGGTAAATTAAGCGGTCGATTGTGGGTAGCGGAAGTGTTTTAAGGTCAAGTGAGCTGCTCCCTCAAGTGTTCTGTACATCGACCCGCATTCTCGGATTGAGAACGAATAATAGTGCCAACTGTTCCCAAAATGACCTTACTGACAGATGACTACTGTTTCCACAGCTTTCTGGATAACATTCCGAGCTGTCTCGGGACGAGCATCGCAAACATGGTTGTCTAACTATTCTTTTGGTTACTCGTGATCTTGGCTTCTTATCGTTAAGTTGAACTCTGAGGGGTTGCCTTGCTGTCTTTCGTACGTTGAGTGAGTTGCAGACAAATATGTACTCGTACTAGAGCATGATCTGGATCTAAACAAGTGCTCCACAATGCGCGGCAGTCTTCTGTCGAGCCTCTCCATCGGTTGCCGACAGCAACGTGACTTAGTTGGGTCCAGCACTGAGTCGACTTTGAGGACCACAATATCAAGAGACGTTTCTCTTTGTGCTTAAAATTGGTATTTGGTAGAAATAGATGGTAACCTGAGCATAGCAGAGGCAGACAGCCACCATTATCCGGTCGACGACCGTGACACCCTGAGGTCCATCCAGTTGTCTTTACGTTTCGCTAAATCCACCAAAACTACATCAGAGCGCTTAGCTTTTTGAAGGTTGAGAAGCTATCAATAAGATTCATCTTTTACTTCATCTGGGCTGAGTCAGTAGCAGCGCAGAGACAACAGAGGTAAAAGTGAGTGTCCTTATCTTTCCGAGTTCTTACTATCTTATCTAGTCGGACTCGTACAACCGACTGTATGCTGGAATCCCGGACGAGAGCTGGTTCTGCCCCAGGACTGAATGCTATACCTACAAGTGAGGCTACAGGTAGCAACAACGGAGCTCCCGGATACACGAAGCGTAAACCAAGATGGTTCTTAATATTAACAAGATGAGGTCGATGATGTGACTTTACCCCAATTCAGTATGCGAGTTTCGTAGAAGCAGCATACATCAGTGGATCTAGATCCTTAAGTCCTTGCTAAAGAAGCCTGTCATCCCATTTGACAAGGTTTGAACATAAAAAGCTTCAACACGTAGGACAGGCCTCCAGGGGATCAGGAGTAACATTTAGTGTACTCTAATTGACAGCAATAGCGCTGTGAAGTGACAAAGTTGTACACTTAGGAACTACCTAAATCACTAATCATAATCGGAAACAGAAACTCTGATGGCAGTTAAAGTCAATTCAGGAAATTTCAAAAATTAGCCAGTTGAGTGTACTGCACTAAAAATTGTAGATATTGAAGTCACGTACCATTTATTTGAAACCAGTCACAAAAATATTACTTCTAACGACTTTAGGAGTAGGACATTAAGAAACCAAACGTGTGTACAGATAAAGACATTTATCAGCAACAATAAGCTACAACACCATACCACTAAAACTTATTCGCAGGAGTTACTATCAAGTCACCTACACTAAGCACTGAGATAACTAACAAATTTCCTACAAAAACTAAACGTAAGTAAACAAAGAGGTGTCCCTTCTTTAGAGAGTAAGTCTGAGTTTTAAATAGCCTGGTTATTTCCAAATTTAAACCACTTTGACTTAGGAAACTGAATAGAATCAACGACGCATACAAGCAGTTGCGTGTCGAGCATATTAAGTACATATAAATACATCAAAAGACTGAAGTGTACAACACACAGATTACTTACTTTGAGGTACTGTTTGAAAGGGGATAAGAGGTTGGATTGATGAGTTAGCAACCAAAGTAGGGTGTGAATTTAAACTGTGATTATCAGTTTCATTAGGGAACATTGGTTGATGCTGACGTTGATAAGATCGCCTTGCACGACCAATGGGACCTGCGTCGTAATTAGATGGGATGTTAGTTGACTGACTACCAGACTGAGAAGAAACATTTGATCTCTCGCGGTAAGCCTTGCGAGGAATAGGGCCAGGCACAGAAACTGAACTCGGTTTATTTTGCAATTCTGTTTCTGTTTGCTGACTTGATAGCTCGACTGATTCTGATGGATGTAAACTGCGATCCGAAACCTTTTCGTCGTGAGATGATACTTCTGTGCTTAAATGAGCATCAACTGGGTCCCCAGATGTATCACTTGTTTGGACCGGACTGTTCTTTTGGGTGGATTCATTTGTGTTTTCCTTAGGCTCATTAACTGGTCGTATACTTGCTAAGCGCCCAGGATGACGATAGAACCCATTGCTGTTCCGACCTCTGTTTGTATCAGGTAATATGCGACTACGGTAACCCCCATAACCTAAGGAATTACATTATACGAAACACTTACCCCTGCGGAACGACCTGACGTTATTGCTGGTATAGTTAGCCCCGGCAAATGGTCCAACAGTGGAGCGGCCACGACCTCGAGGGAAACCACATGTGGTGTCATCGACCTCGTAACTATGCCATTTTAATTTTCCTGGAAAGATAAGCTCATAAGTGCCTAACTTACTTTTGGGTTTTTCCTCTGCAATGCGAGCAATACGTCTTTGTTCGGTAGGTGCCGATGGTTCAGGCCAAGCGTCTGCTTCCAGAGAATTGTTTTCGGAACTAGGGACTACTGGGGAACAGCACATAAACGTTGTAACTGACTTACTTGGTTTCCATGGATTTCCCTTAGAACCCTTGTCTTCGTCCCCATTAGCACGTTGAATGTTAGACAAGTCATTATGACTACTTTTCTCCGACCGCACGCTTAGCTGAGCAAATTTCGAAGAAAAGTCACTCATTGCAGAGGTCTATAATTGACGCCTGTGAGAGGAATGGTGCAAAATTATTAGCAAGAGCAAATAGGAAGACTTGACAGATATTGAGGCAAAATCAAAAAACAGAATTATGTCAGGATTTACGGAGTAGTTCTTACATACAAACGATAAGCAACAACGTCAACACCAACCACGACTTACCGAACCAACACAGTCAAAATAATGTGGTTGCCGGAGGAAGAAGACACAGAAAAACAAAATCTTATTTTTGTAGACAAGATCACTAATTAGACTTCATTTGTAAAAATGAAGCTATATGGTCACATAAAACAAAGTTCTGATTGTGTAACTTTCTGAAGCACATTTCAAGCCTTTTAGCTTTTGAACAACACATAGGATGGAAGCGGGTCATGTAATTAAAACTCTTGGTTCAGCCAGCTACAAGAATGGAACATCAGTCTGAAATGAAATAAATGACTGACAAATAACACATGGACTAATCTCTTTTAGTCGTATCAGGAGCAAGAAAACATAGGACCTTTCATTGGAATGTGTCTTCTTTGCTCCAACGCCAGAGAATGTCATGCTTTTCGGAATTCGGGCAAGAAAGAGTTAGGACATATTTTCGGGCATCCTGATACATGTCTTGTCCGAAAAATGCTGCTTTGTCCGAGTTTCGGTGGGAAGAAATATCAGTTAGTTGTTAGCATGTAGAGTATTGAGAAGGCTATGACAGTTCAGATCATTCATGATTTCTATGTAAGGATGGTAGTTCATGACTACACTCCTTCCACCCATCTGTGGTAAATTTACCACAAATTATGTGTACTCGGGATAGGTGGGACAGGTTTTTTCCTAATTACGAATAATTACTTGGTTATTCTGTTTTGGAAATGTTCCAAGGGAGCGGTGTCCTTCTTGACTTGAAGCGAAAAGTGAAAAACCTTTTATTACTCCTCAGAAACATTTGAGTTTGCCTACATTTTTGGCCAAGCTCTTTTACCGACTTATTTATCAGACAGACTTATTCGAACAGCAACAATTTATCCACAAGATTTGTAGCTTCTGTGAGTACACTTGTTTGAGTATGGGTAACAGCCTACTAGCTTTAGTGTTAATCGCTCAAGTAATTCGATGATCCTATTTATTCGCTCCTCAGCATTCGCATATCTTTCTCGTTTTCCATTCGCGTACCAGTGGCTTTGCTACTAGTGAGGTGGGATAGTAAGCGTCACCAATACTTGATATAGTCCTCGAAGTTTCGTACATAGATTGGCGTTGTCTAATAACAATGATCAGGACAATCAGTATACGAAGTCTAGGGATTATATCATATATCCACCGCCACACGTTTTGTGAGTAAAACCTTAAGTGTAGAAAGGTATTACGAACAGTTCATAGATCAGTACCCTGAAAATCTAAAAATACCCTTAACCACAGACAGGCAGTCAAGAGCCAACCAGTAACCTGCTTTTGGAATGGAAACGTACAGCTTTACAAACAGGACATATATTCTAAACGTTGTTTGCGTTTCTCAAACTTTTGCTGTCCTCAAACAAAAATGTACCATTTCTGGTCCAGAGAATCTATCTTGCGTTTGACGTTTGCAGTTTCATTCAAATCACCAGTGAACTGTAGTCTGTCAGAGAATCCAAGTAGGTAACCTATTCTTCACAAGGGGAAAGATGCTCAAGTATTTAAGTAGCTGTACAGCCGCTTACCAGTTGGTTTTAACAGTTTTCATGTTAAAAGGCTAGTTTTAATATATTTAAGGTGCTTATACCATCGATTTTCGTACATTTTGAATATTTTAACCTAATATTCTCACGATTCCAAACTTTTATTACAAATTGGTTAACAGATTATATTTCACCATAGCCACTAACAGCACGTGTATGCAACCTGTCTCACGTTTCTCCCTCAAATGAAATACCATATTTTTGGAGCTGAAGCCCATCACAGACTCTCCGAAGGAATCTCAAGACACGTTCTCTCGCGGAAGGAGGAATAAACACCACTGTGCAAGGTATCGCAGCGAACGCGGACTCTGATAATGTAGTCTACAATATGCCAAAGAGAAAGTCCATAAGACAGCCCATAAAGCCCCAGGATATTTTAACCCAACAAGTGATACGAATAACCAATAAATATGAGGATTCTAAACTTCGGCCAATTAAAATAACATACCCCTGTTCCCGCATGGCGGATGCCACACGTGAAGGGTTTCTTGACAATGCACACCGGTCGCCAGTTGGAATCCGTATGCATCTAGAGTGGCCAAATGAAGTAAGAATTAAGCAATAAAACAAATCAGAAGTAACCACTCCACTTGTCGACTGCGAACAAGAGAAAACGACGATGGGATAGGTACCTACTAAAAGTAGGTCGCCTGCTCATTTGCAGGAGGTTCATTCAAATAAATAGTATGAGGATGCTTATTCTTATCTAATCGAATGCACCAACTGCTTGTACAAGTACGCTGTGAATCTACTGAACGCAATGGACGAGTTGCGTGACCTAAGCAACTCTAACAATACTTGCCTAATAGGAACTTCTGAAGAGTGGGCATCTTCTGCAATATCGGAGGAGGACCATACAATACCTAGCATGTCATTATTCCGTTGAGACAGGAAAAGTGGGATATCAGGCAAGGAAACACTGTACCTATGTTCCTGTGAGATTGTCTAATACCTCAAAATATGTAGTTGGAGCCGTCTACAGAAAACCTACTGCTGACATCGAGCACGATAATAGCACTCTTGAAGGATTATCTCACTCTGTGCGCCTCGCATGCACTCGGATTCTAAGTTTCAGAGACGTTAAGCTTCTTAAAGTAAACGTCGCAGACCAAACATTTAGTGAGGGTGAAAATTCTGCTAAGGCTTGCTTCTATAGCCTCACTAAAAAGCTTGGATTACCCGAAAACGTGAACTTGGCAACTCAGTGGACAGACAACCGAACGTCACCGCGCTTGAGTTGCATCTTCATGAATGAAGGATCCCTCATTGGAAACCTCTGAATCCCTTGAGAAGAAGCGATCACGTCACTATATGTCCCAGTGTTTTAGCGAAAGTCAGCTGAAACATCCTACCAACAACCGTAAATGAAATTTAAAACGTCTGTGTCAGCTTTAAAGGACAATATGCAGCAAGTGGACTGGGAAGCCCACCCTCAACTTCATGTAGAAGCTCACCGGTATTTCTTACTGGACAGTATTATAAGCATTACGAACCAGTAATCACCACAAATGGTCTTCAGAAGTTATAAGCAGCCCGCGAACAATAAAACCTAAAAAGTGCTGATGTACGGAATACAAACGAACTAGTGACAACATAATACATAGGCAGTTCAAGATAGCGAGTAACCGATGAGAAAAGACATTGAGGCAAGAAAGGCTCCAAAATCAGATCAATCTTGTGACATACGATCCTCCTCGATTTCAAAGTTGGGTGAATAACAACCAAAACATCCAGCCCAGAGAACGACACTTCATCACACTCATCCCCCTGAGCTACAAATTTTCTCAGGCATCTCAACAACGAACTTACTTTTAGCATTTCAATTTGCAAATTAATTCACCTGACATCTTCTATTGATTATCCATACAACTTAGAAAACGTCCATCTATTGTCAAGTTGAAAAAGACCCAAGAGTATCGATCTCCTATGTTACAAGAGAAACTCACAGTATTTATGTCTGCCAACCTTCATCGTCAATAGCATTATTTTATTGGTTTTTAAGACCCAGTCAGTGGATGCATAAAGACGTTTTGTTTGGGCAATGACTAATCACCTGTGAGAGTAGAATTTTCCTCCTTGTTCTAGCATTGCGAGGATTGGAGGATCGATCTCATTACCTGTTACATAATATGGAAAGAATTAGAGTGAGAGGCTAGGCGATTTAAGCACAGACACTAAAACATTCAGATGACGAAAGTAGGATATCACATGCCTATGTAAGATAATAAAGTGAGGAATAGTGGCAACAAGCCAAACAGCAGGTTATTTGTCGTCTCTTGAAAGTTGACGCATAGCTGCTACAATAAGATTTCTCTAGCTGAGTAGTACAAATGTTTCATCTTTTCGCTCGGACACCTTTATTGCTATGACCTTGCTTCTAGAGGATGAAGCTGAAAGTCAGTGCAAAGATCGACGAATATATGAACAGTATTTATTTTCATTATCGCCGTTTTAGATTAACGCAAAATATATCACCAGTCTTTATTCCATTTTCGAGACACTTTTCATACATTTCAGTTCCGGAGGGTGTGAAAATCCTCTAGGTATATATTCCGTCTGATGAAAACTCGTACTGACTGTGATGTATGGTATGCACTTTATTCCCTTCTTGAATATTCATCATGTTTTTTCGTTTCGGGAGAAACAATGATAATTCATCCTGACGACTATTTAGTTTTAGATTCCTATTCTGCTATTACGGAGTTCCTTGCTGACCGTCTCGGCTTCATTTAAGTCAATCAATGGACTTCAGTTTCTGTCCTATTGAGTAGTCGTTTCCCCTATTCCTACGGCTTGACAAGATGACCTTTTGAGACACGAATCAAGTTCCCTGTTTGTTTTAAACGTGCACTGTGGTTGGAGAGTTTGGTCTTTTCACCTTTTCATTGGACTGAAATGATACATCCACTATGGCACAGAAAATGTTCTCAATTTTCAGGACCATTCTTTTCTCTTTGATAGGTAATGGGTTTTAATTTTTAACGTTTATACAACTAACGTTTGCAGTTTGACTGTACCAAGTGCCTTAGGTAGAGAATATCACTTCCTGTTAGACAATGTGCTTCGTTTTCGGATTTTTGATCACAGTAGTTCCATCGAGTGCCAGTGTACCATATAACTTCATCTTGAAACTGTTAAACTACTAGTGTAATTTGTATGATTTGATTTATCAGTTTTGTGCTAGCGAATCACAAATGAAGTACAGAAGTTATAAGGAACATTTCAGATTCTGGAAACTGCGGTCGTAACAACAGGCCATCGAAGTTGGTTGTTTTAGCTGAATAAACCTACTTTTCACGTCATTAATGCTCTTTATCCTAGTTCAGCAACTGGTGGAAGTTAGTGACGTGTTGTTTTGCTTCCATTTCGAGGATGTATACGTGGCCGATCTGTTTAATAGAAACTTGGGGCTGGTCATTTATTCATAAAGCACATAGTGAATACACAGAATTTCGATAAATTCCTTATTTTCCACCCTTCGCTCACGAAACCGTTAGAAACCAAATTTTTGCGTACTACTGCTGCATCTCATAACGTGTCGACTACAGTTGTAAGGTAGGATGCACAAGTAAAAATTCTACAAACGAATGGACTTTTTATGAACCGCTTAGCCCACTGGATGTAAAGAGGTGTTTTATACGGTCC